AACCTGGCGTGATCAGCCAGCAGCGGCTTCATTTGGGGTTGGGGCCACAACAGCTCCCGGCGCTGCTCATCGAGAACAACGTGCTTTCACCACACAGACTCCAAAAGTCTCCAATAACACCAGAAAAAGTTGCAAGATTGTTATTACCGGTAGTCACTTTTTTGAAAAAGAGTCGCTCGAGAGGATCTGAATACTCACTAAATATAGTGTCAAAGTCACTAAGTTTGGCGACACTGACTTCCTGCCATGTCATTAAAAGAAAAAAAAAAAAAAACGACTTTCTTTTTCCAACACACCTCACGGTCGACTTAGGATCAGTCCGCGGTCGACTGGTTGGGCACCCCTGGTCTACAGTATGTCACTCTTGACGCAGGTGAATGCGCACTTCTCGGTCACGTGATAGGAAATGAAACCCAAAAACAAACGTCTTTGAAAAGTTTTTTTCGGGAAGGGGAAAGGCCCAGCCAGGAGAGAGAAGAGGAGCCTACGACTTTCAAGAAAGAGAAGGCTACAATTAATAGACAATATCAGGAGTCCCATTTCAAATATGGCTTTATCTCAAAGGGAGATTCACACGCACCAAGCCTACTCTGCATAATAAGCGGCGATGGTGAGTCGTATTTTTCATGCACTTTTTATTTGCGGATTTTTTCTTATTTCGAAGGCACGTTAACCGTTACCATAGCGACCAGAGAACGTTGCGGCAAGATAGGACGTTCGTCGTGTCATGATTCGAGTTTATTATTCTGTTTCGAAAATACCAAACTTTTCTTGCAGATCATATCATATTATATTGTTGTAACTATCCGGCCTTAAAGGCCGGTCCCTGAAAATATTGTCTGACATGAAACTGGTCCGTGGAGCAAAAAAGGTTGGGGACCTCTGTCCTACTGCATGTGTACCTGGCTAATGTTAACTTGACTACATACTAATACAAGTACTTGATCCTAACAACATGCACTGCAAGATTATTTTCAGTCGCTTTGCATACTGTAACTATCCGTGTGTGTGTGTGTGTGTGTGTGTGTGTGTGTGTGTGTGTGTGTGTGTGTGTGTGTGTGTGTGTGTTTGTGTGTGTGTTTGTGTGTGTGTGTGTGTGTGTGTGTGTTCACATGCGCGCGCTTGTGTTGTGTGAGTGTGATGGAAACAGTGATGTGGATGGTAACTGCAAAGCGTTTGTAATCTGATCTTGCTGGCGTCTCACATTCCAGTTACATTGATAATTGCAGTGTATTGTTTTGTTGAAGTGCCCCTGAGCCTCACACAAGCCTTCTAAACTGAGGATGGCAGGAGAGAAGACAAGCTTTCTGAGGGTGAGAAAATAACAGACTAAGGCATTTTATAGTTGTTTTGGTGTCAGTAAATTCCACACAGTTAACCAACCCCCAAAATGGAAAAGAATCGAAGTCTTGTTGCACAAACAAATATTTGGAAGCAGCTGAAACATGTCACTGAAATTTTACCTTTTCAATTTCAATTTTATCCTGTGTTGCTCAATTCTTGTTGTAAATTGTCCTTGAGTACTATGAAAAGTGCTTTCAAATAAAATGCATTATTATTAAGAGTGGCATTAAGCAGGTACACAGAAGGCTTACCCAGATATTTGATGGTGAATCCCCTGGGCGGGTTGAGGGACCTCCGCATCCATCCCTCCCTCAGTACCTCCAGGTGGTCCTCCTTCCCCTGTATAAGCAGCACATGCTCGTCTATCCATCCCAGGAAGAAAGTCTCGGAAACGGCCTCGGTAATCCTTTGATTCCATACGTGATGCTGAGTGTTTTCCGCTTTGAAATCGGCAAATATCTCATAGCCGGTGTGGTGTCTGGGCAGCGCGTCGCTCTCTGACACTCCGGCCGCCCCCATCGCCTCCCCAGCCACGACTCTGGACAGCACGATGGCCAGAGAGTGGGGAGCGATCTGCAGGAAAGACTCCATGGTCGCCTAACTGGCTGCCGAATTCAGTGGTATCATCCTTATTTACCTGTCTCCGACCGCGTCGAGCTCGACGGGCAACAACAAGTCCATGTTAGCTCAGCGGCAGCAATGCTGTGCAGAAGCCGCATATTCTTCCTACAAGTCAATCGCTATCAAGCTAGCAGCCTAGCCGCCGTTGCCTCCCTGCAGCCTCACGCCAATGCCATTCCTACACATCCAGGTCCGCCCTCGCCTTTCGACGGCTTTCCCCCCACCATTTAGTGGGTCGATGGTTTTCCGAAGTCTCGCATGAAGCGCATTCCACCAGAGTCACGAGATGTCATTCGTGATTTTCCATAAATTTAAAAAAAAAAACGTTATCTTTGACTCCAGCTGGACGGATGCTAGCACATGATGAATTCACCCAGGCAACAGATGCGGCGACCAAGCCCCCCCACCCTACCCTTTTTCTCGTCGCCTGGCAGCATCAAGTCCGGCGGGACGCCGGTTCCTTTCTAGTCACCATTCAGATTACAAACCTCCGAGTGAAGGTTCGAACTTCGTGTGCTGCCTGGTACGAGCCGTGTGTGGGCGAGGAAACTGCTTGAGGTGCGGATCCGCCTCATCCAGGTATTGACAGGAACTGGTACGGGATTGCGTCAAGAGGATGTTGACCATAAATAGCACTTGCCCCCCGGATGTATTTTCAAATTAAGACCGAGCGCAACTCCAATAAAGAGCTGTAAGGTTACATATTTTGGCGTTTGTCATTCTTACCACCCCCCCCCCAAAAAAACACCTGCTTCACAACACCAGTAATCAAAACATTTGATGACGTCAAGCCCAATATCAGGGATGGGCAACTGGCGGCCCCAGTGCATTTTTAATGGATTTCAATTGCACACAGATTTTCGCTCCGAGCAGGCTAGCCTACAGACATGTCCTAACTGTCCGTTAGTCAGATTTTGTCCTTTTTTGTGGTGGTCCCAAACCAAGCTATGAAAGAGGATAGAGGAACACAGGACTGATTCGATGACCCCCGTGTAGAGCATACCGTGCTTCCTCAGCAGCCTCACGAAGTATATCCTCTGCTGGACCCTTTTCAGGACGAAATTGATGTTGGCCTCCCAATTTAGATCTTGAGACTGTGATTCCCAAGAACTTGAGGGTCTTGATGATTGACACAGGGCAGTTGGACAAGGTGAGAGACAGCTGTGGCAAAGGATGTTTCCTGAAGTCCACGACCGTCTCTTACAGTCTTGAGTGTGTCCAGCTCCAGGTTGTGTTTGCTGCACCAGAGTCACAGCTGCTCCACTTTCTATTGGTATGGTATGCGACAAGTAGTCACCATCTTTGAGGCCGATGGCTATGCTGTGGTGTCTGCAGTTAAATTACTGTATCTATTCATCCATCAGGGTTGGAGTGTATCCCAGCTGAGCTGACTAAGGACAAGGGGCATTTTACACCCTGGACTGGTTAATGCAGTCATTTGCAAGGACACAGCAAACAACCATTCAAAGTCACATTCACAACTATGGGCAAGTGACAATGCTCAGTTGCATGCTTGTGAAATGAGGAAAGCAGCATAGACTAGTGTAAGCCTGCCATGTAGGAAAAAAAACATGCAAGCACATGAACACAAAGGAAACTGCACAAGAATAATTTCATGTTCTCCAGTGTTTGCAGCACGACCATTTTTCTTGGTGGGGGGGGACAAAACTGACAGAATGAACTGACCTCTATGTCATAGTTTGGCATGGATGAGGACTCAATTGCAAGAAAGTGAGGCTGGTGGGTACACCAAAAATCATTTTATTTCAAAAGGAACAAAAAGCCAAACAAAGTGGGTGGATTTAAAAAAAAAAAAAAAAAAAAAAGGTTCAAACTTACTCAACACTAGCAAAACGAGACTTGGCTTGAATAGCGCTGAGACAAACAATATGTGACAAGGGCAATGTACTGAAAAGAAAGCAGGGAACAGAAAATCAATTTTGGAAAAAAAAATGTAAAACAGATGCGACAAAATGACACCATCAAAAAAAAAAATTACAGAATTGTTGAGAAGTAAATAACATCTATCAGTCTGGAATGGTTTACAAAAGCTAAGTATTAGAATTCTAGCAAACCATAATAGTTTGGGTGTAAGCTTAAACTGCTATATTTCTTACAAACTGAGCATTTCCTTGGGGTGGTTCATTGATGAGCTAAATCTAATTATCAAAAATCCTTGCAATAATTTCATTTCTATGAATTCGCATGAGTGCACCCGCCAATGCCTTGGGATCAGTGCTCTTACCGTAAATCATGTACACAATTGTGAAATTAGACAATTTTGAAAGTTAAAGGACGTTCCAGTCTTCTGACCCATAAAACATCTGTTGTAATGAGTTTGGTAAAAACCTTAAATCCATGTACAGTATGCACCGTGAAATGTTAAACATTTTTGGCATAAAATTGTGTTTTACAATCAAGGAAATAAGATAATTAAGGTGCTTTACTTCAGCTACTTGGGCCACTTAGGCCAACATCCACATCACCAAGAGTGACCATTGTCTACTCTGCCAGACGAGGGATACATTCATTTTTATTGTGTGATATTTGTGCTAACTATAGCAGTTAACACATGGGTCGGTTTAAGTTCAAGTCTTCTTTGTCTGGGCCAGAAGAATGCCTATGGTGCCGAATTGTTGCTGAAAGTGGCCCACATACATACGCTGTCGGGGAATCTATTCCCTCTTTGCCCAAATATAATCCATAAGTACTTTTCCCCAAAATAACCCATACATGGGTTACAAGCTCGAACCGATTCCCACTTAACCCACACAGGGCCGACATATAGTGACTTGTTTTAACCCATACCCACTTCAACTATAAATACCGTTCACATTGACTACATGACAAAGGCAAGTTTAAGTAGTGATGTGCCATAGCTATACTGCCTTGATAAATTGCTATTTTGCCCATTTTTTTTTTATATTCTTCTAAATTCTACATGCATAATTTGTAACAGTCCATCATTATCTAAACTGGAATGTGATTGTCAGCCGCTGTGTGCATAACACACCAAAATGTTTAAATGGACCAAGTTCAGGGTAAATGTTGATAGTTTTATTGAGAAGGTGTGTTTTCAGTAATAGGATGACACAGCAACGTGTACCACATTCAGTTACTGACGACACCATCCCTTATGTGCCACTTTCACTTTCTTCATCTTCATTCTGTTGGTGACAACAAAAAAAGTTTAGGGGTATGCATCAGAGTGTGCCTGGATGTGGATGTGCATGTGACCGATGATACGTGCCTATTTTCCTCGCAGAGAACACACTCAGTGGCGTAGGTATGTCCATCACTGCCACATACCGGATCCAGCTCCTTGGAGCAAACGCCGTGTGCATACCTCTCACAGGCAGGCTTGACACAGATGTAATAAGATTTTTTTTTGTAAATGGAATATACAAGTAATTCATCAGATTCACTCATTTACTTTCAGCATATGCATAAATCAAGACAGTTCCATACCAGCAGGCTGACCTTTAATTTGCTTGTAAGCCAGTCCTTGTTAGTCTTTCATCCATCCATTTTTAATTGGTCTTATAAACAATGACTGGTCATACAATTAACAATATGATGACCATTGAACACCAAGGAGCTCTAACAAAGACAGTCAGAGTATATAGTTTCTCATTTTGCGGTAAGCAATGCATCATACTGAAAGCTGTTTATAATACTAACACATTGAACATTTTTGAATGGTATCAATCAACGCAGTGTCAAGTCTTTTCCTTTTTTAAACAGCTTTTTGAATAGATCTTGTTAGATTGCGTAAGTGGCTATAATTTTGTGGTGTTTATAATTAAAAAAAAAAAAAACGTTCCCTACCTCCATGAGTCGATCTTGAACATGTGGATCACTGTTTGCGCAAAGAGCCACCACTTGCAGGGTTCAGAGGACACAGACAATATAATGTTGGACAGGCAATACCATACATTTCCTGACATAATTGTTCTAAACTAATGACTACAATGAAACCAAATACTTGTACAATACTTTAAAACTTACCTGAAAGCAGCAGTACAAAACAGAGCAGCACAACGAACTTCATTTCTTCTGAATGTGTATGCCTTTGCGTGCCTGATGGGTAACAGGTGTGTGATTTCCCACTCGTCACACATATAAATAGCTTGGAGCTGTCCCTGATTGGCTAAGAGGTTAAGAGGTACACAAGATTGTGCCCATTAATGATTAAAAAAAACTGCTATGAAAACAAATATTTAACCAAAAGGGAACATGAGACTAATATTTTTGTGACTCATCTGTAAGATGTGGGACGACAATATAAGACGCAGTTGTAATACATTGCCCAATCACATAGAATATATTTCGTAGTGCGTCATATATCAAACCGATGCATACAAACACTCTTAATAATGTCAAATGTGCAAATGTAAAACTAAATTTGACACAACCTACTTTATTGGCTGGCAACCGGTTCAGGGTGTCCCCCGCCTACTGGTCGAAGACAGCTGGGATAGACTCCAGCACCCACCGTGACCCTTGTGAGGATAAAGCGGATCGGAAAAGGAATGAAAGTATTCATTGTGTGCTGTTCGTACCCATGAAATGTCCACATTATATCGTGACAGAAACAATGAACTACCTAGTTCCACTTTTCACTGTATTTTAGATGTATTTGAATGAAAATTACGTTATTTTATGGTATCAATAATTTGCAATTCTTGCAGAGAGGTTCGGATAATGGATTGTTGGATCTTACATTTGATATGCTTAACTATCAAACCAATTACGAGCTTGTTATCGGGTATATTTTTTCACCTTTTTACATTGAATGATCATGTCTTCTCGAATGCACCAAGAACAGGCTTCTTCTCCGAACCCATTTAAACTTACCCACATACCACACTAAACATTATCCCGGTTATTTCAATCACTACAGGCCTGAAATTCCTCCGTTCAGTAACTTCAGTTTTAATGTACTGAAGAAGGGCCCTTTTCGCTCGACAACAGTTACACTCAGGGATTATGGAGTAAATAAACAGTGCCAATAGGTGGAGCCATTGGAGCGGTTATGCTTTCCAAGCCATAAATCATAGTTTTATTTTTAAATTGAAACATCATTTTTGTTATTTGATTTTTTTTTGTAGAAAAACATGTTTTAATCCTTTGAAAAAAAAACCCTTCAAACAAGACTCCCAATATTTGATATGTAATTTTCTTTTTGTAGCATAGTTATCCGTACAATCGATTGCTTTGCTTATTAGTTGACAAGCCTTGAAACATCTCGTTTTACTTTACCTGCATTTACATCCAAACAAGATTAATAACCAACTTTCTATATGCATGTAAATTAACAGAAAGTAAAAATTTTGAAAATCACACTTTACATATTACATGTTAGTATAACATATTTTAATCCGTACCGATGATTAATTTGTTACCTCAACAGGTTGTAAATGATAAATATTTCGAAATAGAACTTACCCTCATATAAATCCCACAGAAATCCACCGTGCGAGAGAATTGCATTGTTTCCGACAGCACCTGAATGCGCCATGGGCGATCAAACTCAAGCGTATCTTCTCGCACGGAAACCAGAGAGAAAGGAAAGAGAAGACAAGATGGCGGATTGAGTGGGTTGCGCTGTGGACAAATGGTCGCGAACCCCGAGTTAGCCCGATAGATATCAAGGACTGAAATGTTCGGATAGAAAAAGCTAATCGTCCGAAGCGTTAACTGTATTGGCTTTTCAACCCTCAGCGTGGAGGTCGTTTTTTTTTCTTTTTCCCAAGCGACGGTCCTTGCGACAGCGCTAGCGTTTAGCCAACCCTCGGCATTACTAGCTGCTTTTTCGAGGTAGCTGTGACTGGCTGCTCGTACAAGGCCGTGCGATCTTTCGGAGTTACATCGAATTATACGTTGGGACTTCCACGTCATACAGTGTTTCCTAAAGGAATTCGTATTTTAACGAAGATCTTTTGTGGATGGTAGCATATATTTTCCCCTAATTTGCGCATTAGCCTAGTTGTCATATTTTAGCTCTCATTCGTCCGTATTCACCAACACCGAAAGGATCACGATTACATTTATGTTTCGCCGACTATTTGGTTAGAACATAAAGCCGAATTTCTTGAAGTAAATCGAACGCCGATCGTTTGGTGGATACTATGGCGAGCAGCAGTGGCTCTAAAGCCGAATTTATTGTCGGTGGGAAATACAAGCTTGTCCGCAAAATTGGATCGGGGTCTTTCGGCGACATATATTTGGCCATCAACGTCACAAATGGAGAGGTAATGATCATAATTATTGAATACGTACGCTGTTTGTCAACGTAACATTGAAGGTTGAGAACGTCAGTTGATTTTAAACATGATTTGCTGAATTGTCCGAAGCTGTAACCTCGCTGTACAACCCAGCCTATTTCTATTTTTTTCAAGTATGGAAATGGCTGTCATCAAAGTTAACTTTTATTACAAGATTGAAAATGTAATTGTCACCTGTCCCATGTCATTTGTAGGAGGTAGCGGTAAAATTGGAATCACAGAAAGCAAGGCATCCACAGTTGCTATACGAAAGCAAGCTGTACAAGATTCTACAAGGTGGTGTCGGGATTCCACACATACGGTAAGGAAATTCATATTTCCTTGTGCTGTCCTTGTAAATTAATACTTTATTCAGCAGTCGTCACTCCTGTAAATTTCTTGTTAGTATACATTAGAGGAGTATAATGATCTTGGTGTTGTGGGTGTCCAAGGCCTGGCCGTCTGCTTAACATACATGCTCGTGTATTCTACCAAAGATGATTTCACAATCAAAGCTTGGAAATGACTCAGTTTTTTCCTCGCAATCACGGGTCGGTTGTTTTTCGCATTTGTAAAAGTGGTCGTGTCATGAAAGTGTACCCAGAGATTGTGTTGTTTTGTCTGAATAACAGCTGTTCGAGGCGAGCGAAAGCTCCTATGTGTGGAAATGGCCGCTCCTCTTTTGTTGTGCTCGCTCTCAACATGTCTCCCTCCTCGGTTAGAAAATGGCGGCGGTACACAGCAGGGACAACAACAACCTGGACCTATCGTTGACTGTTTAGGTTGTGTCATCATTTACAGAATTATACTTTACATTACACTGTGGTTTTTATATTTTATAATAATTGTCGCCATGACTGGTATAAAGGCTCGAATTCACACTTAGTTGATCGTCGTGAGGACATGCAAAGTTGTTAGAATCCAATGTAATAAATAGAGTCATCCGTTTTCTGACTTTTACACGGGTGATCTGGAGATAAATATTTGATAAATATACTTGGATATTTTTCCGAGTTGGGAACATGGATAATAGACTTTCCGGTAGAGATTGTGAATAAGGTAGCTAATATAATGCATTGGAATGTAATACCGAAACTCATGGAACAAACATCTATTGTTTACATATATGAAAAAAAGTTGTTTGTGTGACTAGTCTCTTAATTGAAAATATTAAGTTTATCCATTATCGAGATAGTTGAAGGGACAACTAGTATGTGAGATATTTGAACAGGTATTTGAAGGCATATCTCCATCTGTATCATGTTAGTATTAGTTGTGATTTTTGGCTTTTTGCAGTCATTAAAGTCTGTGATGCACAGCTTGTGCCAGACCTTAAACAGATGGGTACTGAATACAACTGGGAGAAGTTGTTGAAATGAAGTGATATCACGAAGACTTTTTTTTTTTTTTTTTTTGAGACAAGGGTTGGGCGATTATGGGAAAAATAATCACAATTTGTTTTTATTGAAGTGCTGATTGATTAAAATGATTACTCATCGAGAAACTTACTATTAACTCCACTATTCAAGGCTATCATCATAGCCTCATGCCCATTCATCCCTGCGTGTTGAACCTGGTAATGTGTGTCAGTACGACCATATAAGTCCTTGGATCTTTACATCCTTGGAAAATTCCTCAAATCCTTGAAAACTCAACTTTTACATATAACTTGAATGGAGCACAAGAAAATAAGTCCAATGGTAAAATTAGACTACTAAAATAACCTTAATAGCAACTGAAAAAGAGCAATATAGACAAATACCGGCTGTTCATGCACACTTTGGCCTCTTGTGGGCACTGTGTTGCTGTGTAAGGATGAAGTACATGCTTAAAATGAATGATGAACGATATGAGAAATTTCAACAGATACTGATAGCTAATTTACTGGTTTGTATGGCCGATATGTTAACCGATCGATTGTTGCTGTATAAAAGAGTAAAGCATTTCAAGCCTGCCTCTCAATCTAGTGGGGTCAGAGGATGATATAAAATAACTTGTCGGTGGCAATGTAGAGTCGCATGTTTTGCTACTTTCTGAACTGTTGTTACTTCAGATGGTAGTGATGAAGTCCTCTGGATTTTCCCGGAATTCCGGATTTTCACATTTTCATTAAAATTTCTCTGGAAAATTGAGGAAAAATTGCCTAAAATGAATCCGGATATTAGTTGACAACATTGAACGAACATGAGTTTGAGTTCGTTGTTTTGCTTTCACGAGCGTAGCCGTGTTGAGGCACTCACACTAGTAACAATAAAGAGATTTTCGTCTCTTTATAAACACACTTGCTAAACCCCAGTGGAACGAATAAAAGACGCCGTGGACAAGACAAGTTGTCGTAAAAAATATATTTGGACAAAAAGGGAAACACACAGATTGGCAGAAAAAACGTGTCCGTCCGACTTCGAGTGTCGTCTCGGCTAGCTTCGCTGAGCTGTTGTCGTGTGTGACATCAGTTGCGTCGGCGCTGATTGGTTGAAATCAAAAGACGCGCTTGCATACATGTTCGCGCTAACGCACGCACAGCAGAGAGCAGCGGACTATCTACTGCTGAGTCGCGCTTAGCTCGAGTGGCGTCGCCACAACAGTAATACCCTTGCCTCGCATTCTCATGGCCTCGCCATATCTCGGAGATTTCGAAATTTCGGCGAGAACGGAAGCCACAAAGGGTGCACGTGTGCACACAAAAGGAAGATTAATCATTGAATGTCGAGTATTTGAATAGCGTTTTGTGTAAACTAATTCATGCGTGATCGGCCAAGTGTGTGTGTGCGTACGTGCGTGTTTGTGCGTATCTATATATCTATTTTTTTTCCCGAAATTTTCAGGAAAGTCCACTTTCATCTCTGAGATGGTGAGACGAGCAATCTCAAAAGCTCTGATGGTTATCGTAACTATTAATAAAGTTGGCCGCGGTTTCTTATCACCCCCACTATTGTTTTATGTACAATTAATATTGTAAAACCAAAAGCATAGAAATAGTACAAAAAGAGCATCGTAGATGCGTGTGCGCGCTTGAGTACCGACTCCCACAGAAGCGAACAAGTTAGATGACAGACAGCAAAGGGAAGCAGCGCTAGTGAATGTTGATGTATGTAAACAAATACGCGTGCAAATGACCATTTATTGTGTCCTTCAAAAAAAACGATTGTCTGCAAAGCTCTCAGGCCGGGTTACACCGAAGAAGCCTCGGCCATGGCTCTCATTCGAGTGAAGCGGACTGCGCGCTCCAGAAAATGTTTACCCCAAATTTAAATATTTTCAATCAATACTGTTTTAGAGTTGAGGAGGCTTCGGCTGGTTCTTCATTAGTGTGCTTTAATGCGGCTTTCACGATTGACCAAATTTTGCAGTGTCGGACCAATAAAAGTGATGTCATTTTTTTCCCCAATATCGGTCCGATAATTATCGCTTACATAAGTATTGTGTATCCCTACTAAAAATGAGAACAGAAGAAAGTTGACATTCAACTCTTATTAGTATAACAAATTTTTCACAGATATGGTAGAAGTAGTGCCTTTGAGTAGTGTTATCTTAATATTGTATGTGTATCCTCCGTATTAGTGTGTTTGAATTATTTGAAAGGACTTGCACTCCCAAACTCAATGCAAATTGCCATTAGCATTTGAATTGGATGCTCCAATGACTTTAGCATTCACACTAGCAATGTTTAAAAAACTAAGCATGTTTCGTCTTCAAATACCCTGTGTAGTTACTTTGGATGTGTTTAGTTTTATGCTAAACTCCAATTGGGTTGGCGTTAACCAACTTAAAGGGTGCTTAGTGACAGCAGAATTTCATATGCAATACGCTTGCCACACAAGAAACACTGTGCATTCAGGGTACTTTCATGTTGGGAACTTTTAAACGCACCAAGCTTAATCGTTTTTCGTCAATTAGAACGTTTTAAAGATCGAGAGAAGCTAAAATCGAAATCTTGATAAAATTTTGATAACTCGTCTAGCCTTCATACAACATTGCATCATCCATGAAATGGTCAAAAAAAGGATTCCTTTAAGGCTTGATTTAAAGTGTATGGTTTAGTTGACACAATGACAGAGGTGCCAGTTGTTACGCATATGAATTTCAACTTGCTCCGGCTATAATGGTGATTGTTCTGAATAGTAATGCTTGAAAAAACAAATCACTCATAAAATTATTTACTTCGCTGTGACTTTTCAACAATGCACGTTACACGCGCACCTTTTTAAATAAAGGCAGGACCACAAACATTTTCGTGGTACTGTCCATTTTCATGTAAAAATAGGTCTGTAATGATAATTACTGCATTGACTTGCCGCTTGATGAGAACAAATAGACAATGTTTTTTTTCGGACTCTATAAATGGTCATTTGCATGTATGTTTGTTTACATACGCCATGAACATTCACTTGTGCTGCTTTGTTGCCCCCCCCTGTTAGTCTGCCTGCTCACCGTTGTGTGCATTTGGCACGTGCGCAAACACTTTGGAACGGCTTCTGAAACCCGTTTAAACAGTTTTATTCATATGTGTCCAATCGGATGTTTTAATCATTTATTATTAGGCCGCCGTAATGTATGGTAGCAGTAATAATGGCCATGTAGCATTAATGCTAGAGGTCGCAAGAATGGGCGCAGCTAACCTCTGCGGTGCTCTTTTTGTACTGTACTATTTAATCACTTGTTCAAGCACCATCGGTTCTGGGGACATTCATTAAGCACACCAGAGTGCGGAACTAGTCTGTATCCAATGCTGGCACGTCGAGGTGGTTTCAGCTCACTTACCCCTATACGTTTATGCAACACTTCATCAATGGGCATTATGTCGTATACGTTGGGCTTTTATTTAGGTGAGTGTTGATAACATCGGATTCAAAAGAAGTTTTGGACCTATTTTTCATGACAGGTTTAAAATGGATCGCCAGTAAATGAAAATACATTAAGAGTTTGCTAACTGTACTGAATTAAATGATTTGCCTACGCCCAGTTTAGTCACAAATGTATTTAAATAGATTTCAGAAGGATGTAATTGAATTATTTTTGTTCAGCACTATATCAGCGGGATAAAAAAAGACGATCCTGTCATTTATCATGATAGTTTGTGGGACAATATATCTTCTCCAAATTGTCATTGTGGCAGGCCTAACAACAGTAAACACGAGTTTCAATTTTTTTGTTTTGCTTTATTTGTGACATTTTTCTAACATAAAATTGGTCCTTTGGCTTGACAAAGGCTGATTTCCAAGTTATCTAATCAATACTCCCCATTGGGCTCAATTAATGTTTTTAAACAACATTCAACAAATATTAACACAACACATACATGACATACGGTACTATCTGTATTGACAGAGTGAAAAGATCTATTTCCTTTCTTTCCTCCCTCCCTGAGCAATTTATCCTAATATTCCAATTTTTAAAATTCTGTCAGGAACATTAGAGCAGGACTCCACCCAGGAGTGTTTTACTGTGTACATATTTAATTGTAATGTTTCAAAGAATACATTTTTTACTGTCAATTATTTACTCAGTAGTGAGTGACCTTTGAACAATGCACACCTTTTAAATAAAGGCACGACCCCAAACATTTCAGTGCTCAGAGTCATTTTCTCATGTGAAGACATTTCCAAGGACCAAAATAAAAACATGATTAAAACTATCACTCACCAGTTTGAGCCGTGGCCGTTTGTATTGCAACTAGTATTACTTACTATTATGACAGTACGACACTGCAGTGTTTGGTATCCATACATTTTCTGAACCACTTATCTTCACTAGGGTCACAAGCATGCAATAAAGTTGCTTGGTTTAGTCTGTGCATTACTGGACATCATAAGCTAAGAATACAATGTCACTTTGTGCCATGGTTAGCCTCAAGTACAGTTGCGCTGAAGCGTGGGGAATCTGAGCGGGTAGCCAGGTTTCCATGATTAATAAATGCAACAGTCCCCAAGTTTTTCCAGATCATCAAATTTGTGTGTTATGGATTTTGCCTCGGAGGGAGAGAGGCTCAGTAGCGGAGTTTGAATTTGTAGCATAGACCATCTTGACGGCCCAGCGTTTGTTTGTGTTGCCTCCGCCTACAGCGCCAACCAGACCTGACAACAATCCATGGAAGTCACGCTCTTGTCCACGATGTTGAAAGTGTGGTCTAAAGTCTCTAGAATTTGTCAATTTCTACGATAATCCATTGTCAATTATGTTCACACGATTATCGTATCCAGCAAAAAAAGTAAAAGTACAGTTAAAAGGAAAAGGCACAGTTTATTTGCCATCACACTCCTTCATCCAAGCACTTTGGCCAATGCCCTGAAGCAACCCCCCCCCGCCCAGAAAAAAAGGAGCCGGGCCACTACCGTCAGGCAGCATGACTGCTGAGGTAATAAAACATGACATGACCTTATTTGTTTCACATGTAATGGATAAAGTAGCGAAGCTTGTGCTGGTAAAAATGTACGAGCATTCCGTGGGACCGCGTCATGTGTTTCAAAATATCCACACGTCTCATAATTATGGCTGACCTGTGATGGGTACCGAAAACCGTACTTGTTTCGGTATGGACTGATTTGGGTCAGTACTACCAAGCACTGATTCACATGAATTCAAACGGTGCCATGTTTCGGTTCCAAAGTGCATACAACTGTGTGAGAGTTGATGAGTTGTCTTTTTTTTTCTTCCCTTGCCGCATTTTAATACAGCATTGTCCTCACATCACTCATGCAGGCCTTTTCATACGCTAAAAATACATTTCCAGGTCAGGAAGTGAGCAATATTTGCTCTCCGCCAAGCCCAATAAGTACACTTTATGAAGTCGATAATGGGTTATTCCAGGGGTGGGCATATGGGTTATTCAATGCCAAATCACCCAAACAGCCTAAAAAATTTAAACCAAGCAAATTTTAATGAAACTTGCTGGTCTTGATTGTGATGTCACAGCACTAAATCTCCAATTTTAGGTCAATTGGAGTAGGGCTTTGGGAGCTACAGCCCACTGAAACTAATTAGTTTGACAAAAGGAGGCGTGGCCGCCTTCCTTTGAACCCTTATCTCAGAAACTACAGGGTCCATTTTCACAAAACAGGCGTTGTAGGAAAAGGGAATTCAACAAGGATTCCAAATCTGAAATCATTTAAAAGTATGTTGCATATTTTAGTAACTTGACCTTTTGACCTGGGATTTGAACTTGACCTTGTGGATAGTGTGACCTCAACAACATTTTTCACGAAATGTAATCTGTCACATGTCCCCTGGTTCAATTTTGACAGACAAAATGGCCACTCGCCATTTTGGTGAATATTTACCTCGCCACTCCCCATGTCATCTCGTCATTGGTTGGGAGGTAAACAAAGAACGTAGCCCCTGATCTCTGAACCTTGGTGTGTTTCTTTTACTGACAGAAAATGGACATGGATGAACAATTTGTAGTGGTTCGGAACCAGTTGTGAGCACACTGTGCTAAGTTTAAAACTTCATTAAAACCAATAAAGCATTGCATGTTGCAATTGAAAAACAATTGTAAATAAAAATTATTGAACCGAACCGTGAATTTTGTGTATCGTTGCAGCCCTATTATTAGTGTTGTAGTTCTCAAGATCGGTCCTGGCCTTGAGACCTGTTTCGAGAGCACTTTTGCCTTCAATTCCTCGACTAAACCTCAGCGTTTAGTCGAGGAATTGAAGGCATTTTTGTCAGTCTTGTCTCAGACTCACAATTTTCGATCAAGACCGGTCCTGGCTTGTCAGGACGAATCACTTAAAAAAAAAATGAATGCACAATTAGTAGAAGTGAAACAACAGCTTTGCTAAAATTTGAGAATTTTAGTACTGTACTTCCAAAAGAACAGCACAATTAATTGTTTCAAACGTAATGGAAAAAAGAAGGTACTGGTCTTTTTTCTGTGACATATTGTCTTGACCAATATGTCCTGTTTTATGACGAACCACACAATTTTAATGTCTTCCTCTTTAGTCCAAAATGATCACCAGAAACCCTGAAAGTTGGTGTTAGATGAGCAGCTTTGTGTTCAATTACTCATTGCAAAATGTGAGCCGTGACCTAAAACTTACCCTGATGAATTGTTTCTCATATAGATGGTATGGCCAAGAGAAGGACTACAACGTCCTAGTCATGGACCTGCTTGGCCCCAGCCTCGAGGACTTGTTCAACTTCTGCTCTCGACGCTTCACCATGAAGACAGTCCTTATGCTTGCAGACCAGGTAGCCAATCCTTGCAGAATACATTCACAACAAACAACAAGCTGGAGATAGTCAGCTTTCGTGTAAAATTTCAGGATGATCCAAAATTGTACTGTAAATGACCTTATTTAGACCTTCTCTAAAATTTTGATTACCATATTTTTGGGATCAGAAGTTGCGCGAAAAATCCTATGATATTCTCAAAAATGAACAAGAACTAGGCCATACTTTCGTCAGCTGAGCGTTTCCAGATTTACAGTGTGGGATAATATCATTGCAGTCTGTGGGACCGAGAGGTTAATGTAACTTAAAATCCCTTCCTGTTTACTTTAACATGAATGTATGCGTTCTCATTCTCATCCGCATCTGCTTACGGGCAGGTGTCTGTATTTGTCAGACTGAAACTACAAGTGCTTCCTGTTTTTGTGTCACTAGTTAGCTCCAATGTAAACGGAACTTTTCTGGAGGCACATTTCCAGTATTATCAAGGCTCAAAATAAGTGGGTTTGCATTGCTTTTTGCAACATAAAGTGTGACGTAAAAACTGAGAATGGGCTGACGGTTATGCGGCAAAACTACTGCCAAATGTTAGGACCTGATTTGGAAATCAGTTGACAGCTTAAGTTAGCCGACTAATATTTACCACAAATTATTTTCAACATGTTTCTCACCAACTAAAAGGTGTAAATCATCTAAAACTTCAACTGAATTTGTTGGAACATAATACATTTTTCACAGAGTTTATTATTTCAACCATGTCTTGTCAAGGTGTTTTCATTTTAGAGCCTTTTACACTTCCAAAACGTGTACTCCTGAATATTTTTCTTATTCCTAGTTCGCCGGTTTAAGCTCAAACGTACAGCCATGAACTTGCTGTATTATGTTGCATGCTAAAATACTAGCTGCTCAAGTGAAGTTGCACAAAGGCTGTCCAAGCCTTATTTTATTTCATGCCTTATATTTTTGATGCAAGAATGCTAAATTTAAGGTAAAATTTATATTTGTTTGGAATTGCCGCACCTAAAATATTTCTAGACAATAAAATAGCGTTTGCTGCCCTGCACAGTGTGGTTTAACACCCCTGTTGTATTAATTTTTTAAATAACAATTTTCATGGGTTAATTTCACCCTCTCTGTTTAATCATCCAAAAATATCACATTACGCAATGCGATGCAAAAGCGAAAAATGGAGGCCATGAGACGAAATTTAATCCATTTATTTTGCCCTAGATTTTTGGATCGGTTATGTTGGTGATATAGAAAAGGAAGATGTGCTGTTTACATGCTTTGACCAGGCTACCATTCAGATTTTGCCTTTGTTTCGTGCATGGTTGTTTTTTCCAGCTGTACTAGTGAGTAAATGTGTCTGAATTAATGAACTACGGTAGCCGTAAATAGTTGAAACCTACCATTTTTGAGGAGCATAACGTGTAACGATTCGGTGCCCTTTTTGTTTTAGATGATCAGCAGAATTGAATATGTACACACAAAGAACTTCATCCACAGAGACATCAAACCAGACAACTTTCTCATGGGCATCGGCCGGCATTGTAACAAGGTAAGACATGCAAATTCATTTCATTGGAGAGATCTACTTTTTAAACGGCTTGTCAACTTTGTAATAAATGTTAAGAATTTTTAATGTGCCTTGACTCAAGCCCGCTGATGGAAAGTACATTATTAGTTGTCTTCAGGGTAGTCCCATGACATAACATTGTCAAATTCTTTTCGTGCAATACCATGACCATAGCAACCATTTACTAATTTTAATCTGTGAGGGGAAGTCTTAAAAAGGACATTAAACATAAAACATTATTTTTTTCATATTTTATCATTTATATGTACATTCTGTTGTGCAAAAGGACACCTACATGAATGCTCAGGTTGCAATAAGCGATAATGCTTGGTCCCTTTTTTTTTTTTTAATTCAGAAAGATTTTGTTCTTTTTGTCTTCAAGTAAAAGAGACAAAAGGGTTGAAAGGTTCTGAAGGAACCTTTGCCCGGTTTGTTTATCTTTATGCTCGCTATGCAAAAAGTAACTACCAGATGACTGCATATTGTCAATGTATTTAAATTTTTCTGGTAGAATTGCGGAAGGTTTAACACATCAGAAAAGGTTCCTATTCTTTATACTCCTTGACTCACAGTCTTAATTGGTTCCAAGTAGATATGTGTGCCAGAGTGCAGATAGATAGTAAAGATCACAGCGACACAACGGACTCGGTCAAGTCACCTATCTAATTATTTGTGACAAAGACGTCATAATCTAACAATTCCCCTGTTGGGGTTAATTTAAGGGTTACCCAGAAAAACTGGAGCTTTTCATGTGATTGAATCCTTTTTGTAAGCGATGGTTTCACGTTCGATTGATCATAGCAAGTCATCAGTGAGTCTCACTGATGACTTCATATGACGTGTTGTAAGGGTCTCGCCTATCTCCTGATGCCACTTCATCAGCAGGCGATTGAGGTGACTATACAAGTGGGAAGCCCATTGACAATTGCAATGGTAGCCACATAATACTTTCATAGTGCTCCTGATTTTGCTGTCACTGTCACTTAGTAATTCTTGCTTGCCAATTTCGTTTATGCCATACTAGGCTGAGATTTTTGGAGAACAGTCAATACAGAAAATAAATAAAAACTATTACTTTAGAAGAATGAGAACAAAAAAAAATTATCTGAAATCAAAGCAACTGTAGCACTAAAATCTTTTACTTTCAACATTGTCTCCTCACCCTCTTCCCTTTTGTGTACTATTGAGGCGCGGATTCTTTTGGAGTAGACGATCTACAGCAGGGGTCCCCAACCTTTTTTGCCCCACGGACCGGTTTGTCAGACAATATTTTCAGGGACCGGCATTTAAGGTGTGGCGGATTAATACAACAAAATAATATGGTATGAGCTGCATGAAAACTGTGGTGTTTTCGAAATATAATAATAAACACAAGGAGCGTCTAATCTGGTCGCAACACTCTTATCGCTCTGGTAATGTTTAATGCCTTCAAAATACGATACAACGCAAATTCAAAGTGCATGTAGGATGCCGGAAATAGCAACAGTGCTATTGTGGCGATCTCAGAGTATTCAGCCATAACTTTGATCCAGTTGTTTCGAACGTACTTTTAAGGCCGCCGTCATTTGCGATCTCCAAGCAGCTCTTTTACTCATTTTGCGGGCTTCAGCGTTTTGTTTATGAGCGTCATCGGTCACCTGACCGAGAAGTGTGCCTTGACGTGAGTCAAGCGTGACACAGACGGATGTAACAGAGAATCCGGTAATTTTTCAAAATAAAACATTTCGCATTCCGAAATTAATAAAACGGAAAAAAGGCAAGTTCTTTCTGTGCAGCCCGGCACCAAATGCCCTGCGGACCGGTACCGGTCCGCGGCCCGGCGGTTGGGGACCCCTGATCTACAGTCTTGACTCAGGATTTTTGCTGTCAATATTATGATTAAGGAATTGTCTTCGCATTTCAAGCAGTGGGGATCAAAGCTTACGAAAAAAGTAGCACATTATTGTCCGGAAAGATAGGCCAGCCTGTCATTCCCCGAGTTCAGTGTGCATGTCTGCTTGTCCTTCAAGTAATGTCTAGCTTGGTGGTGTTTCCGCCTTAAGACAAACACATTTTAAAGCACCGTTTACACTTTGGTGCGTTAGCGTTAATTGCTTCACCTTGCTCATTTGTTTTTCAGCCGAAATACTACCACATAGCACTTTGCGCCCTTGGTTTGTCCACCAGTTGCAACCTGATGACATCGGCTGCATTCCTGTGTGTGTGTGTGTGTGTGTGTGTGTGTGTGTGTGTGTGTGTGTGTGTGTGTGTGTGTGTGTGTGTGTGTGTGTGTGTGTCATTCTCTGCAACTGTGCTAGAGCTTATTGTAGTGTTAGCTTGGTTTTGTGGTCTTAACATTTCCCTGTGAAGCCCCATGTCCGTTCACTGCGTCACTACACAGCCTTGTTTACATTTAATCACGGGTACCTCAAGACCAAAATATCCACATCTCCACAATTTGATGCGATTTCCGAGAGCATACAGTACTGTTTGCAAAAAGGCCAGCTAACAGTGTTTTCCCCGAGTTTTACTGCATTCTAAACTACAGTGATTTAAGGGGGAAATTAAAAATTCTGAAACAGCTTAACTCTTATTTCCATATATCCAAATTAGTATCTGATCGATTAATGAGTGGCCATATTAAATTGGTTTATTATGGCCTTTCAAACATTGGCCAAATGGACGATAATTGCCAATTTTTACCTATTTGTACTCTAAGCATTTAAGCAGTTGTGCACAGGTAACGGTGGTCTAATTTATTACACATGAATCTATACCATAACCAGTGGTGCACATTAGCGGTGCGTCCGTGCACATGAGCACTGCAAATTGAATATATCGAGTATGAGGTTTTTCTCTATCCATATCTTCTCTGTTGAGTGACAGAACTGGAGTGGGTACACCACCACTTTTGGCGTTGCGCTCTGAGATGAAATACATCTCTGGTTTCAGAAGAGCCATAGCGACCATGATGGCTTCGACAGTTAACAGGTAGTCTTACTGGGCCAGGTTTCACTCAGTTTTTCATACTTGCTCCATTCTCCAGAAACAGAAAATATGCGAATGAGAAATACTGTTTATATGCACAGAGAGCAGAACTCAGATTTTTTTTCATGGCATTGTTAGCTGGTGTTATTGGAATAGATTCACACCAGTGAGAGAACTGTTAGTTTTTTGTTTTTTTGTTTTTTTGGGGGGGGTGGTTGGGGGGCAATATGGAATGGTATTAGGTAGCATTGAAATAATTTTGGTTAAATGACAAGGTACAATTGTAGAAAATAACACTAATCTAAAACTTGCTGGTGTAATTTATTAGTGGATGTTGTGATAACTTCACTCATACCGTAGCAGATTATGTCCCGGAAAAAACAAAGTCCCAGAAAATAGTTTCAAGAAAAGAGTGGGAAGGTGAACCCTGATGTAACCACAGGCCAAAAACTAACTAAAATACAATGGGTTACTACCCCCAGCGTCCCACCCTTATTCTGGCCAGTCTACCATACAGACCAGATCAATTGCTTGCTGCAGAGATGGTTGTCTTCCTGGGACATTGTCCTCCTCCCACTGAGGGATGCTGGAGCTCTGGCTTGGTGAGCTTTAGGTCCTTGGTACCTCTCTGACCAAGGCCCTTCTCTCATAATTATTCATTGTTGTTTTGGTTTCCTTCGGAAGGCTGTTATGACTGTGAAACCAGATAATATTGCCTTATATTACATATACACAACAAATTGACGAATAATTAATTTTGAAATCAGGGGCCAGTAAAAATGGTTCAAATATTATTTCATTTATTTTAAAAGGGAGATTGGTAACAAAAAATGTTTGCAATATCTCAACATTTTTAAAAGTCAAGACAGTTTGTAATTTTGGCGTTTGAAGAAGAAACACATTGCTGCACAAAATTTGCTTTCTTGGGCCACATTAAATGATGTGAATTTGAAACTTGGGCTGTAGGCTCTTACGAGCCTATAGAAATTGAGTGCTTGTGATTCATCCTGGATTCGCACCCTTTTTCAAATTCCAGGTTTTTGTGATATAAATGAGTGAAGCAAGATGGATCATTTCGGAGTTGTTTCCACCGTTAATGTGACTTAGGCCACAGCTATCGAATGTTTTGTTATTCGGGCTTCCTATTGAACACTACTGAATAACCGGGTGTTCCACTTAAGAACATGTTAAATCACAGGTGTCAAAGTCAAGGCCCGGGGGCCAGATCTGGCCCGCCACGTCATTTTATGTGGCCTGCAAAAGCAAATCAAGCATGTCAAGTCCCATGATGCTTGCTGAAGTCTGAACCAAAATTTCAAATTGTCGTATTTAATCCACAATAACAGTCATTATTCTTGACTTCTGATTTTAAAACTAGTTATCCATCAATTTTTTTGTGCGCTTTGTATGTAATATGTGGAGGTGATTCAACATTTATATGGTTTCCCAAAATTCATAACGGCCCTCCAAGGGAAACTGTAACTACAGTGAAACTCCTCTACAACGAAATCATGTTTGCAGCAAGAAATTTTTCACAACAGGGGGTTTTTCACTGTAGCAAATTTGATCTCAGATGTAAGCACACACACACACACAGTGTCTTTCATTTTGCTTGCTCCGTCTTTCATTTTGATCACTTTTACCCTCTCTTCCAGCATCAGAGCTCTTCTTGTCTTAGCTGCTTGACATCCAAAGGTCCGTTTTGTAGCCATTTTAGCAATGCAACGTCCATGCTCGTCTGAATCTAACAGTAACAAATACTTCGTAGACCCGGTGGCTTTTCTTTCCACCATCTCACTGTCTCTAACTCGACCTCCCCTCGATCGCCACCCAAGACAGCGTTGCTCAGCTGATGTCATGCAATGAACTTTTAAGCCAGCCACGGGACGCTTCGTAGTCCTCGATGGCCATAGTTAGCTCTTGAAGGCTAAAAACCTTACGCTAACTGGAGCGCTTCTCTCTCATTAGCGCTCCGGTTAGCGTTAAGGATTTTAGCATGATAACAAGTAAAGCATTCGAGGAAATGCTCGTTTATTTGAATGTCCGTCGAGCCATAAGCAATTTACTCTGAGCAGCTAATCGGATGCATTCCACTCTATCTTCTACGGACCTAGCTTCAGTATCTCCACACATAGACAGTGAGGTCCCTCTTGGCCAATCGGAGGCCAAGATGATGCTCGGCAAGCCAATGGCAGAGCAGCTATGAGTATGTTGGGTTTAGGAAACTCGCAGCTGTGACCGAAATAAACATTGTTCACTATGTGAACCAGTGTGGTGGTTGCCGTTGCCGTTTCCGAACGAGTAGTAGAGGTCGCTGTTGGATTAGACTTCGTTGTAGTGAATGTCTTCGCGAGGCTGGAGCAGAGAAAATGATTTCATATAACGCAACAGGGTTTTTTTCGTCGTATGGGGGGCAGGAGAATGGGAATGGTGTTAATGCATGAAGATTTTTTCACATTAGGGTGTATTTTCGCCCATGTAGGTTTCATTCTAGAGGAGTTTCACTGTTCAATGTGCCCCACGACAAAAATGAGTTTGACACCCCTGTGTTAAATCATTAACATACAAATATTTTTAACTCATATGTTCATATAAATTTCGGAAATCAATTATTTTGCAGATTTGATTTCCATATTTAAACAAATCTCTAAAGATTTCAGTCTTTCAGCCAGGACCACTGTAGTGGTTTTTGACGGCTGAAAGACACTTGAGTAAGCCTGCGTTGTGAAAAAGTGATCAGTAGGAGCAACAGCTGTCAAAGCTGTCAGTGTCCAAAATGTGCAGAGTCATTTACATCTTAAAACGGCCTTTGAAAAATAATCCGTAGGCTTCCGCTAGCTGCCAATGTTGTTCTCCGCTAACGTTGGAGCCACTGGCAAAGGCTTCATCTCATTTCAGCCCCGAATGTGACTTAGAACCCCATAACTCAATTGAAACACAAATTAAAATATTCTCAGGGGAAAAACAAAAAGTAAAAAAAAAACCTGCTTCTAAACATACACATCCTTAATGTAATGTTTATTTATGTGCATCGCCCTTTTTGGGTGGAAATGTCAGTGTGGCACATTTTTAGGTGGGAGTCTTTGCCCGTTGCTCTTTGCTACAATGCTCCAAATATGTTCGATTGTGAAGGGAACCTTGTGTGCACAGCCCTTATCAGATCAACCCTCAGATGCTGGATCACATTCAGGTCTGGACTCTAGCTGGCAAATTCCAAAACCTTAATACTCTTGTGGTAAAGCCATGGTTGAGTTGATTTTGATATTTGCTTTGAGCTGTTGTCATGCTGAAAGTTAGTTCATCTTTGGATTTCTAGCCTGAAGGTTCTGTGCTAACGCTGACTGGTTTATGTTCGTCACTCCCTCCATTTTGACTAAGGCCCCAAAATGGACGGGGCACCCAATAATGCGGGTGGCCTTGTGGATGCACAGAGTTCCAAAATCTGTGAAGGCTGTTGTGACTGATGTTGTGTGCCGACACGTTGCGCGTAAGGCAGGTGTAACTGAGGACAGCATGCAGGTGTTAAAAGTGGGAAGGGTGGGTGTGATAAAGGACACTAAAGGCACGTCCTCAGTAGGTACCGGTACGTGCGTTGGACAAAACATCTCAAAAATGGCACTTATAAAAAGACGCCCTTATGAAACACAGTTTAAACTTGAAGTTATCAGTTGCACGGAGGACCATGGAAATTGAGCAGCCGTGAGAGAATTGAAAATTAACTGTCGGCATCTTCCACTTCTCGTCATTATGATTGTGGAGAGACCTTCTGCTCTTTGCCATGTCATTGTTGTGATATAATTTCTTCACTTGGTTATGAGCGTTTTCACTGTGTTCCATGGTAATTTTAATGTCTTGGAAATTCTCTTATATCCATCTTCTGACTGACACCTTTGCACAGTTGGACTCATCTGTTGTGGAAGCTCTCTGCCAGCCATGGCTTGTGTTGTAAGATGTGGCAACAAAAATGTCAGAAAAAGCCTATGAGAACATCTGAACTTTATTTGTACTTTATAAATTGTGCACATATGCTGACTGTATTTAACATGAGTTTGAATGTGATAGGTTAATCCTGAATATTGCCACGTCACTTGTTAGGTGTGCACTCTTGTACAACCACATTTTCCCAGTTTTGTTTCCTTCCTCCCCCTCTGTAAACAAACATTTTTCCCCATTTGAAATCTGATCAGGTTGGAAAAAAGTTTTGAAATGATTGATCTTGGTCTCATTTATACTGTATCATTAAAACCTGTCATCTGATCAGGTGCATTGAGACTTAAATATCAAATGACATCATGCAATTATTGACTGCAAGGACATTTGGACTCATGCTCTCCAACCAATCACTGTAGCATGTGTCAGCACCTGATTATCTGTATTTTATTTGAAGCCCAAAAACAAGAGTCTGTATACAGCAAAATGAGCTGTTGGGCATCAGCAGTGAAAATTCGGTCATGGGCTGAAGTCACATTACACAATTGTGCTGCTCATCCCACAAATGCATGCTCCTTAAAAATTGGTGTTAATGAAAGGGCAACGAGACAAGCTTTCCAAACATGTACCATTTTTGACAAACATTATGGAGAAAATAATGCAGCTAAAACATTTTTTTCTTTACATATAAATAGATCTTGGCATTTAGACTGAAAGCTAAAAGTATATGATTGTACGAAGGTCACGTTTTGCCCATTTTGTCTCTACCACCTAACATGGTTTTATAAATTGCCCATTTTGTCTCTACCACCTAACATGGTTTTACAAGCAATGATTGCGGCCCATAGCCCACGTGTATATGCCATGTTATGGACAGTCTGCTCGGGCCTTTTTAAAAAGGCTGTCACCTGATAGGATGCCGACGCTTTATTTATTTATTTCACTGGCGATTTCTCTTTCTTGTACAGGATTGATCTTTCCATGGTTGTCCTGACAGAAAAAAATCACACCTGTGATTCTTCTTGAGTGATGACCAGATTGATCTTTTACTTCCAGTACCGTATTTTCACGACCATACGGCGCATCGTATTAAAATACATAGTGTCACTTATGGGTGCTAATTCTTTATAACACATACACAAGACTCCCTGCATTAATGGACGCAGGCATGGTAACATGGACGCTAGCTTAAAAATACGCTAGCATGCATGATGTTTTAAAAAAATGCAACAGGAGCAAAACTGAGTTCGGTGGTACTTTATTCAAGTATTTAACAATATATTCACATTATTTTTGGATCAATCATCATTCACAAATCCCCGTCAAAGTCCTCATCTTCTGTATCTGAAATGAATAGCTCGGCAAGTTCTCCAGCAAACATGCCAGGCTCGCTCTCGTCATAGTCAGTCTCGTTGCTGTGTGGCTCCTCAGAAATGATGCCGGCTTTTTCGAAAGCTCGAACAACAGTGCAAGCAGGCACGTTAGGCCAAGCATCCACAATCCATTCACAAATTGTGGCGTAACTCTGCTTCCCAGTCTATGTCAGGCTGTGTTTGCTATCTGTCATCCATTGCTCTCACGCCGCTTGCAACTTGGAACGCTCTTGTTTACACCGATGTCCAGCAGTTGGAGTTCCTTCGTCAAGCGTCCGGGAATTATGGCAAGCTCTGAGTTCATTTGCTGCACGTTTTTTCACAGCGGCCGTGAGATGGGCACGCATGGAGTCACAAATCAGCAGGGGACGGTAAGGCGTGAAAAAAACCATCCAGTCTCTTCTTGTACACCTCATTCAGCGACTCTCTCTCTCATTTTCTCCTTGTCCATCCAGCCCATCTGATTTGCCTTTACGAACACTCCGGCTGAAATCATTTCTTTCGGCACAGCCTTTCTCTTAAAAATCACCATATTTTGCAGTTTCTGTCCATTGCTATGGCAACCAAGCACAAGAGTAAAAGAGAGTAAAAGATGACTCCTTGTGCCCCATTGTGCGGATCGCCACCGTGCTGGTCCCCTTCTTTTGACTTGGCTTCACCCGGATGTCGAAAGTGAGCCGCATCTCGTCCATGTTGATGATATGGTCGGGCTGGATGTGTTTGTCTGCAATCTTTTTACGGCAGTAGGAGTGGAAGGTAGCCAGCTTTCCTTGTAGTCCGCCAGAAGTTCCCACACCACGGTAGCCCTTGCCCAGATGTATGTTTGGCACAATTTGATTCAACGATAGCACCACAACAAACTTACCTGAAAGTGCTTAGTTTTCACTTCTTCTGCAAGCATTTTTGCGATCAGCTAAATGGTAACTGTAGAGACACATCTCCTGGCTGTTTTTTGACCGTGAATCCATTGCTCGAGTTGGTCTTCCAACCTGAGCCCCCTCGCCTTGTTTTCGCGGAAACTCCGCTTTGTCTTCTTGACTTGGCGAAGCTCATTCTGCTGCTTTCTCCAATTGTGAACCGTGGATTTGTGCATCTTAAATTCTCTCATGGCTGCTGATTCCCATGTTCCTTCATGTAACTGATCGCTTGAGGTTTGAACTGTGCTTCGTAGAAGTATCTCTTCATAGGTGCCGTTTTCGTCCGTCCAAAGTTGTTTTGCCCAATGCACGTACCAGCATTATATCCGCCTACTGACGGGCGTGCCTTTAAGCGTCCTCTTTGAAGCCCACCCTTTCCCCCTTTAACATTTGCATGCCGTCCTCAGTTACATCTGCCTTTCCTTTATATAAACAGCGTGTCGGCACATCGGACAGGCAAGCAGAGCACTCATCGAAGTCACACCGCAACAGTCACAGATTTTGCAACTCGGTGCATAGATTAAGCGCTCTGTCCATTTAGCAGAAATTTTAAGACTTTTAAGTGCGCCCTACGCTCGTGAAAATACGGTGAATGTACCCAAAAAGGACCTTGTGTTTGTTGGTCCAACCTTAATTATACAAGAGGTGCTTGCTCTGTTGTACAGAACCAGTTGGTATTAAACTAAGTGGGTACAACCAGAAGTGCCTGTTGTACTCTTGCTAACTGTGACTAAAGGTGGATAGCGGCTTTGTGATTTTTGACCCCTGCCCCTTTACTGTCTGCCCTAGTGTTTAGACTCGTCAGTGGGGAAGAGGAAAAGAAGCTTGGCGGTTAGCTCTTCTCAGGACCCATCTTTCTCAGGATTAAACCAGGTGTGACCTTTACCGCAACACCAGCTTCCTCACAACAGCAGTTTTCGCTTTGCAATTATAATTTACTATACTGGCATAGTGAATGGGAGTAGACCATTAGTGTTCACCTTGCACCTATTACACTCGATCACCCAGCGTGCACTTGATTTCATCGGAAGACGAGGGTAGTCAACTTGTCAGTGTAATCATCGAGGCAAAGGCTCTCTCGTCCCAGTCCTGCAATGATAGAGGTCAGGGATTCTGATTTAAAGGCAGCTCCCGTCTCTCTGTTTGACCCGTGAGTCAATCAAATGTTGTAAACCAATGTCAAGTCTGGTATGGTTGAAGCCTTAGGTAAAACAAAAGCACTATTTTTCAAGAAAATGCGATAATTTAATGACCTTTTGAAATGGTGGATTTGAACATTTAAGTTATGTCCTACTATATGTTCTTAAGAAGTGTGTTTTTAAAAATGTGTTGTCTTGTGGACGAATTGGTTGTTGTAACATAGCCAAGAACGTGGTTGTATCGGTGAACGTCTCACGATTTTACCAGTACTTGTGTTCGACTACATTTATCCTTTGATGACATTGTAATAAGGGTTTTAATCTTCAGCTCATGTGAAACCCGTGCTTTGTTGGTTAGTTGTAGACGCAAGGATTTGCTTGTTTAGTTTTACAACCTTTGTATTAATTGCGGATTTGCCTCATCTTTCGAGAGGTCCTGCACACTATTCTCAAAGTCAGTACAGTTAGTAGACTGTTAGGCTTTTGCTCACATTTTGCTGTCTCTGGCTGCTTCTGCCACCAAAACATGTTTTTTTTTTCCTCCCCAACTGTTCTTTTATGTTGGTATGATCACAATGATGAGGCTCTTGTACAAATACAAAGGCAAAAAACACTGTAAATTAGACACAGCAAAGTTTTCATTTCCACTCACCACATGACTCCTACATCAGTGGTTCTCAACTGGGGTTCGATCGAACCCCAGGGGTTCGGAGAATCGGTCTCAGGGGTTCGACAGAGCCTCTGCCATGGAGGTTAAGGCACACCCGACTCAACATGTCAATTAGTTATGACACGCCCGCTTGGCCATCACTGGCTGGTTCATTTTGTGCACAATTAAAAAACTTATACTAATTGTGTTTGCTTTTCTCAGTTTTTAATAAATGCGTTTTTTAAAAAGCATATTTTTATTTTTCGCTAGTGAAGGTTTCAGTGAATGTGGATATGAACTGGTTGGGTTCAGTACCTCTAACAAGGTTAAGAACCACTGTCCTAAATAATGGCAATTGCCTATAAAAGTAGAGGCAGTACATTTTTATCTACTCGCACATGTGCGATGAGTAAATTAAATTTTTTTTTAATTGAATATTTTTTCATGCTTACAAAACCTCTACTCAACACTTCACCCCATTAATTAGTCATGTAAATGTGAATATTTAATTCACAAGTCGATTTACAGTGTTCCCCTTCTAAATTTTTACTTGTGCCCCTGAAATTTCATGTTGGGGGCTTTTGCGTTAAAAAAAAAAAAAAAAAATCCTTGGGTACGGCTGCTGCAAATGCCCGTTGCTAGTCAACCAGTCACAGAAAGTAGTCGTGATTAGTCAACTAATCGGATCATACCTACATTTTTTATTTTTAGTTTTATTATTTTATTTTATGTTTGTAAAGCGCTTTGTTGCAGCTGTTGTGAAAGCGCTATATACATCAGGACGTATTTTAAATCACAATATGTCGCGCCAGCAAGCAGATGCTTCTAACCATCATTAGCTTTCAGCTTGAATTCTTGAAGGAATGTGCAAATTAAAAATAGACAGTTAAGATGATAGCACATTCAATCTGTATTTATTTATTTAACTTCACGGCTTGTACAAGGATATCGGGCATCTTTATAAATGGTCATACTTATGTTGAAGGCAATACTGTGGCCTTGACATGACCAAGCATAAACAATACATTACCCATAGTTGCTCTCTGAATACTACTTTATACATAGTGAAATCAGATGAGTTTTAATTTCAAAAAGGTACTGTGGTAAAGATAACACTGTTTTTGTTTTTTTAAATTAATTCTTTGCTACCCTAGTATCTATTATTTGAAGTATTAAGCCCAAGCAGTACTCTAAGTGACTTCTTATTCGACTCTTGCCAGGTGAATTAGGTGCAATTATTGTTGACATCGATCGCAACAAGTGAACCGGTCACCAATTTTCTCTTGGCCCTTTTGGAGCCACGCCAACATTTAAGGGCTCAACTGTTTTCAACCCTTTTCTGCCACACATTTAACATGTGAGACCAACTCGTGAGGGACAGGTTTGTGGTGCGTAACAGTTAGTGGTGCAAAGGATCAAAAAAGTCACAGTTTGGATCGTATCACACCCGTACCTTTGGATCAATGGTGTGCTTTGAGTTTTGGAAAATGGTCCCTCATCAAACCTGGCTGACTTCCCTCTCGTGAAAGCATTTGATTATTCTTCTTTTCCTCCACACTTTACAGAAAAACAAAGCGTTGTCCTCCCAAGTGTCAAAGACAGTGAGATTTGAAATGACAAGTCGTCTCCTGATTAAGTGGTTGTTTCACTCTGTCATTGACTAATTCTACTTATTTGTATTAGTTTTATGTTTTGTTTGTTTGTTTTTTGAGACATAATATGAGGGAATTCAAAGTTGTTTTGCATGACTCGGGACCAATGGCATTAGTTTTTAGGACAGAAATCAACCAAATATTTGCAATCAGACATGAACTTTGCAGTCAAGGCTTTTTATGTGAGTTTTGCAGGGACAATTTTGACAGACGAATTGGCTGGCCATTTGCCCAAGTGGCAAATATGGGAAATATTTACCACGCCCTTCCCCACTTCCACTCGTCATTGGCGACATGAGGAACAGGAAGTGCGAACCCTGTAGTCAGAAAGACTCAATCACTTTCCTCAAAATAAGAAAGTTCTTTTCTAATTGCTGATCTTATTTTTCATTTTGTTTCCACTTGTGTTCGTACTAATAAAAGCTTGTTCCAAAGGAGTAATGTATGAGTGCATCATGACAGTGAGTTATTAGTAGGGATGTACCAATCATGAGATTGGAAATCGGGCCTGATCACCTCATTTTCAGATGATGGGAATGGGGGGACTTGTCGCAAGAAGCTCATGTAAATTTAACATCATGTAACAATGATAATGTCTGCAGTATGGAAATATTTTAATGTGGAAGGCGGAGACAGTGCAGCGGCGTCACCATGCGAACATCACATGACCAAATTCAGAAAAGAGGTGAGCCCTGATTGGTTGTTACCTGAGCCCGAAGCAACTTGATCTCATTTTCGGGAGAGAGCAAGTGGCAGATCCTCAATCAGGTGACTTGTAATTGGGTGCAATAAAATGTGGTCAGGACATCTATAGTAATACATTTAATGTAATGTGACATTCTGTCATGAAGTTCCGTTTGGAAACGGGCATTAAATTAATGTATTACTTATTCTGCCAATCCATGAGAGATGGTTTTATCATATTGTACCACGCAGTTTTGTTCTTGAGAGCAACTTCTGCTGTGTCAACCTTACAAAATTTGGTGGCCCACATTGTCAACGAGTGATCCAATACCAAATATTGCTTTGCTGAAGTTCTTGGGCAGACATTGTATTTCATTGGTGGAGGTTGCAGCTGATTCTAAGGTAGAAGATGTACATTAGGTGTTTTTTTTAATTTTTTATTTTATTTTATTTTTTTTGTTTTGTTTTGTTTTGTTTTTGGAGCATAGCTTTGAAAACTGCTTACTTGCTGGCTGGGGATGTAACGACAGCAGCGGTCGTCGTGTATTAAAAGCAGCACATCTGTTCCAAAGGCTAGATTTTTTTTTCTCTCCATTTGTCAGAGATGAAAGTCCTCCGGATTTTCCCGCAATTCCGGGTTTTTCAAATTTTTATGAAAATGTCTCCGGAGAATTGAGGAAAATTTGCATAATCTGGATAATAGTTGACAACATTGAACGAAGACGCGTTTGAGTTCGTTGTATTGCTTTCACGAGCGTAGCCATATTGAGGCACTAACACTAGTAGCAGTAAAGAGATTTTTGTTTGTGTAATAACGACAGAAGGCATGATGGCATTTGACTAATGGTTTAGTAGAACGAATGGCAACTCGCAACAACAGTAGCAAGCGTCATTTTGCCTCTTGGGTTATACCATCTCAACTAGAACGTGGGGGATAGTCCCCAAACAATTTTCGTCTCTTTATAAACACACCCGCTAAACCCCAGTGGAAAGAATAAAAGAGGCCGTCAACAAGACAGTTGTCGTAAAATTTTTTAACACGCAAAGCGGAGAGCAGCGGACTATCTACGGCTGAGGCTCGCTTAGCTTGAGTGGAGTCGCCACAACAGTACTACCCTCGCCTCGCATTCTCATGGCCTCGCCATATCTTGGAGATTTCGAAATTTCGGCCCGAACGGAAGCCACAAAGGGTACACGTGTGCACACAAAAGGAAGATTAATCATTGAATGTCGAGTATTTGAATAGCGTTTTGTGTAAACTAATTCATGCTTGATCGGCCAAGTGCGCGTGCGTGCGTGTGTGTGCGCACACACACACACACACACACATTTATTTATTTATTTATTTTCCCCGGAATTTTCAGAAAAGTCCACTTTCATCTCTGATTTGTGCAGTTCCAGCAATATTAGGTTAGTTTATTCATGCAGTTTAATTCACATGTGCCATGTTTTGGCCGCCTCCGTTTAAGTCTCATCGGCAGATGAAGGGGAACTAAGCGTGTTTGAGTTCCTCCACAAATTGACTTGAGTCATGAGTACGTGCATTCGCAAGTAAGTGCCTCGATATGAAGTGTTGGTGATTACAGGTCATTTATGTATGTTAAGGTTAATGTTAGCTTTCCTGTCTGAACTCTCTGTATAATTATGACCTCAGCCAATTAGCACTGCGTAGACGAGACATTTACATGCTGTTGTTCGTTTATTTGATTTTGTTTTTGACAGATCTGAGCCAATATGAAGCCATGACAATAAAATTACCAATTACCAAGCCTATGTCTTTGGCACTGCTATTATGGACAAAAACACAATATTGTACTTTTTTCCCCAGTATGAGGTGTTTTTTTTCCACAATATCATGAGGTTTTTAATATAGTATTGAGCCTTTTTTAATGCTGACAACCTCCCCACAATATTTTAACATTGTATCATAAGGTTCATATCATATGGTGCACAACTTCCAAACATAACTTTTAATTTACCCTGTGCTGGAACTTTGGAAGTTTGGTGAAACCACGTGTGCAAACAGCGCTATCCATAACCTCTCATTTACGCCACCTAGGTATGGGTTTAAGATTTGATATATTTTTCATTGAGTGAACACCACATGCATTGAAAACAGCCAGCGCTTGCCCGACGTGACAAACGGAAGCGGTGGTAAGATTTGCACGACCTGGGAGAGCTTGGCATGTGCCCACGTGCTCAATGTATTCGAGCATGAGTCCTTTTGGTCAGAGGCAGAATTGTCTGCGTATGAGCGTAGACTCCTTTGGAGATTCACGCCATTATGGAATCAATGTGTTCCAGAAAGTGTACTCCTAAGTAATATTGCATAGAGTGTCAGTGCTCACTCTATACTGGAGCTGTCCCATTTTAACAACCACTTAACATCCTCCAACATGCATCGCATTTCTCAGACCGTGCGCTATAGTGTGAGAGTGGTTCATGGTTAACCCTACTGCATACTTGAATGTACAAGTCAAGTTTTTGAGGGAATTCAGTACATCAGCAGAGAGGAATGTATTTCCATATTCAAATGTGCAGGAGCTTGATGCTGTGCATGTTAATTCCAGATGATTCATTGGGTTTCACTATAAATAACTCCTGTGTGTTCTCCCTCTGCACAGTTGTTCCTTATTGACTTTGGATTGGCAAAGAAGTACAGAGACAACCGAACGCGACAGCACATCCCCTACAGAGAAGACAAGAACCTGACCGGCACAGCACGTTATGCCTCCATCAATGCACACCTGGGCATTGAACAAAGGTCTGTACCTCAGCGAGGTTGATTACGTTGTAAGATGAGGAACGTTTTGCAATACCAGCGTTTTGCATTGCATTTCATTCTCCATGCCTGTATCTCGTTCTTAGTTGTTTTTGGCAATCCGTTTTAGTCCAGTCTTTGCGTCAAGATGGCATTTCAGTTTTTATTAGTTTCAGTCTTGTTCCTCCTCTTCTTAAGTTTTAGTCAACTAAAAGTCTGAGCATTTTAGTCTAGTTTTAATCAAAGATAACGAACTGATGCTATTTCAGCAGAGACAGCAACTCTAGGTCCACAAAGTTAAAAACGCTGCCACAGTTTGGCTTTCGCCGCAGGTGCTGAGTAGCCTCTGGCTGAAGCCAAACAAGGGTAGCATTTTTTTTCTTTACTTTCTTGACCTCCATTTGACCCATCTGCATTTCAATCGAGTTCTATTAAAAGAACTCTGGTGACATTTTTGTCTGATTTTAGTCAAAGAAAATTGTATTTGTCTCCTTTCAGGAATGCAATACTGTCAGCAAGTCCCTAACAATATCGACGAAAGCAACATTTTCCTTTAGCCAAATCCAGTCTCTCTTTCTCTCTGTCTCTCTCTGTCTCTCTCTGTCTCTCTCTCTCTCTCTCTCTCTCTCTCTCTCTCTCTCTCTCTCTCTCTCTCTTTCTCTCTCTCTCTCTGTCATGCTCACAAACCAAACGTTTACCTCTGTTTCACTCATGACAAATTTTTGTCAGTTTAAAAATGATGGGACAAAATGCGGAGACAATACTAAGTTTTAAGCTGGCGTTAGAATATAAAACATGAATCACAGCCTCATCGTTTGGCATATGCTTTCCAAAATAGAGACTGAACATTGCATTAAATTTCTTGACCCGCTTTCCATTTTTTTATGGAATGCTTTGAAATGTCTCATCACCTTTGTGTTATGTCATTTTTGTCGCTGGTCCCTTTCTCTGTGTTAAATTGTGGTAACCATGTTGTATCGCAGCACTTTTTTTTTTTTTTGGTCATTTGCTCCAATTACTACCGTGAGTTGGGATTGAGGAAAAGACCTCAGGAAATAGAACTAACATGACATTTAGTCACATCTCGGAAATGAAGAGATGTTTTTGCATCCTTTTTTATTTGGGAAACCACATTAAGTCTCGTTTTTATTTGGAATTGCTGGTTTAACTGTCATTATCGTCCAGGGACCAGCATTTTCATTGAGTCATATTCCGTCTCCCTCGTGTGGTGAAGGATAGTTAACGAAGATATTTCGTCCCAATTTTAGTTGATGAAAGCAACACGATTCGTTGTACCTTATAATGTAGTTAAATAATGCTTGTTCTTGTTATTTACAGTCGCCGTGATGACATGGAGTCACTAGGCTATGTGCTGATGTACTTCAACAGAACCAGTCTACCATGGCAAGGACTCAAGGTATAAAATAAGAGCTGCTATGTCCTTGACATAACAGCGCAAAAAAAAAAGTAGGAATATTTGGCTTTCGAGGAAATTAACCACAAATGTATTAACGTTTACAGGTGAACTGAATTTGATCTTCTCTAAACTTCCAGCTGTTTTTGCATATGAAGCATCTCCAATGTGGAGCTGTAAACTTCACGTGTTTGATCCATGACTTGACCAAAATATTTTCAAAGATGTCCACTTCTTTCTGTGACTCTCCCGGTCACTATCTCTTTTGCAACCTGGTGATGACACTCTTAAGCTCAGTGGCCACTTTGTCTGAGAACATCCTGGTTGACGCCTCACAATGGTGAGGTACTGTTGATGACTATCAGAAGCCTCTTGGTCTAATGAAGTGAAAATGTAAACAAAATAAAGAGGACTGTTCAAATCGCAATTCTAATCCAACCAGGAAAGATGTTGGGTAAATTGGGACTCAAGACAGCTTTTGTGAATTTTGTCATTTAGCTCCCCGATTTAAAATAAATCCATAATTTCACCTCAAAGCTGATAATGCAATTTAGGTTCCACCTGAAAGCCAAGCATCCCTGACTTTTCATGAGTAGTCTATATTCTTGGAGGTGTCAATCACTTCATGATTATGGCACCGAGATATGATCAGAGATGATTGAAGAAATGTCATAATTATGCTGTATGAGTAAATCCAAGGCAATTGTTAATTTGAGCTCATTTAGTATAGGTCGTTCATTTTACAGTACGAGTGATTTGCTTTTAGCCTCACTGAACATTTTCTTTGTCAGGCTGCCACAAAGAAGCAGAAGTATGAGAAAATCTCAGAGAAGAAGATGTCTACCCCGGTGGAGATCCTCTGTAAGGTAAGAACACGATCAAGTCCAAGCCGCTGAACATGATCGTCACAACATCTCCATCAGGATCCCTCACTGTTGATCGCTATACATGCTTCCAGGGGTTTCCAGCTGAATTTTCCATGTATCTGAACTATTGCCGTGGCCTACGCTTTGAGGAGGCTCCAGACTACATGTATCTGCGCCAACTCTTCCGCATCCTCTTCAGGTACTTGCTTATATTGAAGGAGAAAGTGATCTTAATGTGAAAATGCATACTTTTCCAGTACCACTCAAAAACTCCATGCGTGATTGAACTATAGCAGATATTTTCAAGTTAACCCTGAGTCAGTCTTGCGGCCATCTTTTCTTTAATATTCGTCCGTTCTTTCCTTTTGACTGTCTGACCTCGCTACTAAGTCGTAGAAAATGTGAGCTTTATGGAACATTGAAGAGCATTTTTTTACGGTATGTTTCAGGACATTGAATCACCAGTATGACTACACATTCGACTGGACTATGCTGAAACAAAAAGCGGCGCAGCAGGGGGCCTCCTCCGGGGGCCAAGGCCAACAGGCGCAAACCCCCACAGGCAAGCAAACTGACAAATCCAAGCCTAACATGAAAGGTTAGTAGCAAACAGCCAAGCGACGTTTTGTTTTGTTTTTTGTAGACGCCAATTGCTCCTTGTCTCAGTATTGTGCCGACTAGGCCTTACATATTGTTACTCTACAACCTACACCCCAGTGCCCCTTAAATCTCCCAAATTGGAAAAATGGCAAAGCTAAAGTATCACTCTTTTTGGAATAAGAATGGCATAGACGTTTTTTTTTTTCGTTGTTTTTGTTTTTTAATAAGAACCAAAAGTCAAAGGATTGAGATAGTGATACAATTGGTCTGTCTTGCCTTAGCAAAGACGTCCTTGGGGAATTTGACTACTAACTATGTCACATTGATATTATGTTCCTTTTTGGGGGGCTGGACAATGGGCTCTGCCTCTCTCTGTTACTGTTGACTAACTCATTCTGATGACTTTACCCTTGACTCTTCCAGTTGTCTCTATATCTACATTCTTGTCTCACATTTGCTTTCCTATTGGTCATTTTATCAACGCCTGTTCAAAAAATGTGGATGTGAGTGCCTCAGACCACTACAGGCACCATGTGGGAGTTTGGGTCGCAAATGTAAATACTGTCCCACAGTCCCGAGGCATCGCCAAAGACAAGATGTCAATACTGTGTAGTCCTTTTCCAACAGTAGTGGCTAAAACATTTTAATAGCACATGGAAACTGTGCTGGATGAGCTCCAGTTAGTCTGCATATACTTTCTATGAAACCCTGAAGTATAAATCTTTACCCAGGTTCTCCGCGGGGTCTTAAAAAGTCTTAAATCCAATCATTTAAATTGAAGGCCTGAAAATGTCTAAAAAATCTCTTAAAATCTCATTAGGTCTTAAATACGATTTTGAAATGTCTTAAATCTATTGATGTTACTTTTATTTAAAACATTCATCAACTTCAGTCTCGCTGTTCAAATTTTTCAGGATGCTCAAACATAAATATGAAACAGAACTAAATGTCGACTACATGTGCTGCCCAGTCACAATTTATCAAACACCACCAGCCATTGTTGTGCACGTGCAGCGGTGTGTTTAGAGCTTAATTAGCAGAGCGGCGGAGAAAACTGAGAACGAAACCAAATTACAGCCCTTGCAGAGATGGTTAAGTGCAAGTTTAATGATTTGTGGCTGCAGGATGAACAGTTCAGTGCATGATTGAAGCTGGTGGAGGGAAACTCGTATGAAGCACACTGCGCTTTATGCGAGAAGCTTGAAACATTGGGCATCAAGGCATTGGAATCCCATTGCAGAAGAGAAAAACACAAGGCGGTCACAGAATGCCAGCAGCAAACACTGTCAATCAGCCACTATTGCTCCACATCAGGAGCTCTAGCTCCAAGGTCCAGCGTGACCCAGTTGACTGCAACTCCAGGTGACCTCCGGACAGCGTTTGGGTCTACGTACACAGACACTAAAAGCGGAGGTGCAATTGACTTCTCACACCGTCATATACTGGTAATGAGAACATTGATGAGCTCTTCCAGACTATGTTCTGGATTCAGAGAGAGCAAAAAAAAATTTTGTGTGGAAAAGACAAAACGGCATACTTGATGTTTTTGATTAGCCGATTACATGAAGAGATGTCATCTCCTTTTGCACTTTTTATCGCCAGTATCGATGTGAAATGGGCCTTAAATTGTATTCAGTGGTTGCGGCATGCAGGAAAACGATATTGGGTACGCCGCCAGATCGCGTTGCCATTTTGTGAAATGACTGGTCAAATCGGTAAAAAGAAAAAAAAAAGTTTAAAATCGCTGCTCCACTCGAGCAAAATTGATGGTTATCGTGTGCAACGCAATATATGCATGCTTTGTTGCGAAGACCGTCAGAACTACTTTCATGCAGCATCTGAACAGAATCAATTTAAGAGCGGAAAGTTGCTCCATGTTTGACTGCAAGAGCCGCGGAGCATGTCCAGTCACCACCTCCTGGACACGTTGGAGCCAAAGTGCCTGATTCATAATGACAGTCCCTTTTTGGACATTTCAGCAGGTAAGTTTACATTCAGTCTAATCTTAAAACGTAATGATTCTCCTTACTGCAACTTGATATGTGCATTGTGCAGCAAGTTAAACCGGGATCCGTGTAATGTTTACTTCAGATGTATGTAGCTTGAGTTTATGGCCTTGTGGCTAGCTAAAACAAAAACTCAGGAAAGCTTTGACAGTAACTGATAACTTGTGATATCCAGTGTGGCACAGGACCGCTACTTGACTGTTTCAGGTGTCTTTGCAAGAGAGGATACGACTAATGAACACAGACAGTGCATGTAATAGCCGGCAGATATGAATTCATTCAATGTCAAGGTTGCCCTTTATATGTTAAACGTTATGATCACTGGAGGCAATGTGGATATAGCAGTAAAAAAAAGATGAGCCTTTCTCTTGATTTTGGCGCCTATGCTTACACATTGCTGTGCAATATATCATCACCTACCTTGTCTTTTTTTTTCTTTCTTGCTCGAGCCCCTTGCTGATGAGGACATGGCTATTGAAATAAGACAAGAACGCTCCAGTACAACGGAGGTGGTTTGGAATTAGCTACAGCGGTGGTGAGGCCTGCAAACAACCCCGTACCTGGGCGAATCCAGTGACATGCTACTTGGAATGTGACTGCCAATGCTATCAAGCTTGTCAATTCAGTATATGTGTGTGCAAAAGCATCTGCCACATTTTCAGAGTGTACATCTTCGACTACTAGAGACACCACCAGCCATGAACAGGCTTGTCTGTGACCTGAGAGAGCAGACATGTTTTTTTTTGTTGTTGTTTTTTCAATAGAAAAACTGCTTATTGATCAGATACCCAAAGTGTATTTATGTAAGAAAACTGCTTGTGGTGGAAAAATAACAAAGCTGGAAAGTAAAACATAAACTTTGTACCATCATGTTTCATGTCGTTTTCTTTTTATTACAATTGATACTATAAAATTAGTTTGTGAAAAATAGTACAGCTTAGGGCCTAGTTTGACTTTTTTTTTCCCATGATACCCAGCCCTTAGCAATATCCAGCAAAACCTAGATAATGCTAATTGGCAATTGCGCTTTAGTGAATGCATTTAATTTGTATAGTACCAATTGTGTGTTTGTTTTTTTCTTTAAAGAAAATAAAAATCGCTGCTCAGATCACAAGATAGGCCAATATGTCTCTTTAACTTATTTACTCTTTATACTTGTGTACTGTTGGCCACATATCCACAAATAATTGCAAACATTTTCGGCCTTGTTTAACAATCTTTTACTCTATGCACCAAGGAAGCAAAAGGGGCGGGGCAGTGTAATTTAAATATAACATTTTCAACAAATGGGCAGAACTGAATTTTTAATGACAATGTTATCTGTTTTCAAAACATGCAACACACCAAATTACAAACGCTGGTAATACTCTAATAGGAACCTTTTAAAAAGTATTTCAATAAACCTTTGGATTTATGAGACCCAGGTGCACGGCAGTGTCAATTGAAGCACGATGCTGACCCATAGTGGCAGCTGCAGATGCCGTCCTCATTGTACTTGATTCCAGACTCCTCACAACCTTCATTCTCCTCAACCTGAGTGTGTCCTTGGATACCATCTGTCACACCATCCTTCTGAACAGACTTTCTTCCATCAGCATCACCCACACTCAGTTGAACCCGTTTTCATCTTTTCTCTTTGGCCGCACTCAGTTCATCCAAGTCCGTCAAATTCGTCGGCTCAACTGTGCCCCTGGGATCTGTCCTAGGGCCACTCCTCGTCATCATCTACCTCCTCCCCTTCGGCAATATATTCTGTAAATTTAACATTGACTTCCATTGTTATGCTGATGACATCCAGCTGTACCTCGCCACCAAACCTCCTTGAACTTTACCACCCAGCTTCCTAACCGATGGCACCTTGATTTACCTTAAACCTCTTGAAAATAAACGGCAACAAAACACAGCACCAAGTCCACTCTTTCAAAACAGCCAGCTTTTCCTGAACCGTTGACAACTCCTCTGGGCCACCTGAGGGACCACCCCCGACCCGCCACGTTAAGTCTGGGAGCGTAACGGTAGCCTGTTCTTTCAACCCCACATCAAGAACATTACCTGGTTGCCCCTGCTTCCATCTACGTAACATCAACCAGCTCTGCCCCTCCCTGACCGGCCCCTGCACCGCCGCTATCTTTGTACACAGTCCCGTCACCCCGCCGTCAGGATTGTTGCAACTCTCTCCTTTTCGGCTTCTCTCTCCAATGTGTCCATAAATTTCAATCGGTGCAGAAATCTGCTGCCTGCATTATAACCTTAACTCTCACCATCCAACATGAATGCTCTGCTCATCCTCATGTCGTTTTGCTCTGCCTCTTTTCTTCGGTTTTTGGTTTTTCACATTTTAATTCTTCTTTCATCCCATTTTTAATCTTGGCTTTTTTTTCAACGTAATGTAACATTGTACGGTATCCTTGAGTGCCAAGGAAGCACACCTTGTAGAGTTTTGTGTCCCTAAATTTATTTTTGACATTGATCTCCAAGGTGTCTTTTTGGTTTTTCAAGCACATCGGGTCTTTGAAATTTTCCTAAAATGTGGTTTGCCCAATCTCGATTTTGACCATACTTTGTAGTTAATAGCTGCGATGTTCCACTGCAAGAAGCCGAAACCAATCGCTAAGCTACTGTCACCGAACACCAGAAAAAGTCCCTTGGATGTACAGTATACTTCTCATAGACGTGCGACCTGCAACTGTGTTAAAGTGAAGCACAAACAGCAAATTTGCAGGTCATTTAATCAGGGTCTAGAGAGAAAATACTGCAGCGACGCAGTATGCACACAACCCCAAAAATTGAGTCACTTACGTCATGTTTCAACAAATGTTATTTAATCTGTTAGATATGCTATGTTATCAACTGTGTGTTTGCATTTACTTGCTCTGGTTTGAACCTGGGTGCACAGTTTTGAGATCCACACTGTGATAGGTCTCAAAATAACATTCCTTGTTTTTGAAATCAGTTAAGCTTTGCTAAGAGAACAATATAAATGCAGACATTATGAAAGTGAAATGTTAGTATGAAAAGAAGCAGCAAGAATACATTATTCTTTCTGCCTCTTAAGATTTTTAGGACTTAATATTTCAGTAAGTTGACACTTGGCATTATCATTTTTCCACTGAAGTGGATATCACGAAAGGTACTCTTCCATTTATGCACATTGAGCAAGTTAGTTTCAGTCATTTTAGATTTTTACATAGTTTTGCATAATTACATCTTTATTTGAATAGCAGCAAGCAGTAGTTCTTGCTTATTGAAACAGTCTAAAAACCTTGAGTCGGGAATGTTTTCTTTTTTTTTTTTTTTTTTTTTTAGATTAATAGCTTTTAATAGCTTCATATTTGTAAATGGTTCTGTACATAGTTAATATTGCCCTGAAAATTGATTTGGAGCGAGGGAAATCTGTATGTCTTGTCAGAAAAAAATTGCAATTCAATCTTTCCCTGAAACCATACTTTTGGCCCCTTCAAAAAAAGAAAAAAAAATGGGAGGCATATTTGCACAGTGTTGTAATTCCTACGCCCTTCGCCTGATAATGGATGGAAATGCCCTCAAATGACATCTGCCAGTCTGCAGTAAAGCATGCCTTGCTTGTTTTGAGGTCCAATTGATTGCGGTGCTGTTTGGAGCCCAAAAGATGAGGTGTCGATGTCCTTATTTAGCTTCTTGAACTAGTTATTAGGACCGAGATGCCCAAAGCTGCGCAAAATGCCGCCTGTCCCGATGAACCCCAATTCATTGACTTATGCTCATGTCACGTGACTTCTCCAATGGGTTCTGACAAGCGGCGCGGGCATCTGACTTGCAGCTACAGTCTTGGACTTGTCAGCGCGGCACTAATGACGGGACTCGTTGTTTGTGTGTTTCCGCAGGTTTCTGAGTAGTCTCCTCCCAGAGACGAGCTGCAGAAGTGCCGGCGAGCAGGACAACCGATGCTCGCTTTCCCGGACAAGCGACAAAGAAAGTCTGTGTCCCCCTTCCATCTGTCTATGTAATGGAAATATATAGATTCTCACACGCACACATGTGTCTGCTGTGTTATATCTATATATTGATATGTGTATATAATGAAACTCTCCACTCTGAAAGAAAAGAACCGATGGAATCGAAGGTGCTTTGGATGTGGAGGCTTATAGATCCTTGCCCTAACCTTGACCCGACATAGCTTCTCATCCCTCCCTGTCCCCGTCTTCCTTTCACTGTTGACTTTTTCTAAGGTTTCGTTGGAAACACGATTTAAAACATTAGTCAGCTCTTGGTTTTTTTTTTCCTCACTGTGGGAACATCTCAAAGCATCTCTTCCCTTCTTCACTACCTAATTATTTCACCCACTGCTTTTATCAAGCAAATGTTTAAACATGTAAACCTGAGAATTCTTCTCTCCTTTTTTGTTTCTGAAGAGCTGAATGAGAAAACCCTTTGGACCCTTATTTACGGAAAGGTAAACTGTTGGATTTTTGTTTTGTTTTTTTTTTTCCTATGGTGGTTAGGAGATTGCCTGTCATAAGCAGCTGATGGCAACAGTCTGTTGTAGATTGATTCTCTGGCTCGCTCCCTCTCTTTAGAGCTAAGACTTGTTAAATCTGTTGTAAAACCCATGGTCTTCTCCAGAACTACCAATAAAAATGTTATACAACTAAGACTTGGACCATGTTTCTATCCACGCTGTGTTAACATTTGTAGTTGGGTAAGTGCAAACATGGCAATCATCGAATGCAGCACGAACCGCTGATGGCGGCCATATAACCTTTGGCATTAAAATTGTTCGCGTTTGTGTCGAACAAGGCAGGTAAGCTTATCAAAGCCGTCGTCGGGCTTGTTGTATTTGGAGTAGAGGGTGTGGCAGTTGTTCAGCTTTCCCTGGCGTGTTCTTTCATGACTGAGAACATTTTGCATTCTGTTGAACAGACACGAGGCTTTCAACGTTTCTGGAATCGACAAAACTCACCATTTTTAGCAACATTTCAATGACCACATGAGTTGTGCTCCTAAATCTGCCTTCTGCTGAAAAACTTACTTAGGTAACGTGCTAGTATGAACCCATTTGTAATCGCATCATTTCGTCTGGCAGTCTTCAATCGTAATTGTTACTGAAATTACCTCCTATCGCCCTGATCAAAATTTGAACATTTGGCCCAATAACATGCACGCATGCCCGTTAATAGGTATGGCTAAATTTACACACCTGTGACCTGTTTTGGTTGAAATGGGTTGTACTTGGGGAAAGCGACTGCTACTACTGCTGAGGAGGACCTTATGTTAGATTTTTTTTTTTCTCTGAAGTATTGGTGACTAGTATTGGCAGCCACCATGAGTACCCAATGCTTTGAAATAACGGCAGTGTCATTGCGATACAGATACCTGGTATCGGTACTCGCCCATCCCCAAGCCCCCCAAAAAAGTCAGCAAATATTGCTGGGAAGATTGTTTGCTACTAGAAATACAAACTGTAGTTTAATCCCCCCCCCCCCCAAAAAAAAAAAAACGTAATGTGTGAAGTTTAAAGGTTTCATTTACTAGCTATCCAACCAGTAGAGCAGCATGTTTAGATTGCCCCCGGTGGTTATTCAGAAGCAGTTTGAGAAATCCATTGAATGCGTTTTTTGGCCATTATTGTATTAGTGGCAGTTTTAATTGTGCTTGTGACATATTTAATGGAATCAATAACACTGCATTTGGAAGACTCAATCTACGCTTTTCCAGCCATTTCCTTTCACTATATCTTTGTGAAATGTACACATTTTGCACATGATGCTTCATGCCACTGTATTTGTGCTACGCCTAGTTTCAAAGCTTGAGGCTCCAATTTAACAGGTTAAAAGTGCCATATAAATCGGATTCTTATTGATTACACACTTGCTACACTGAAGTCTGCTACATGGTTGAGGTGTGCATGTTTTATTTTTTTATCGAATGCGATAATGATCACATAACATTGTATGCAATGGTAGGTTTCATTGTGCTCAGCTGGCATACATATTTCGTTTGAAGGTAGTTAGGCGGTGATTGCAGCTTTTCGTAGCTATGACCATGGGCGTCATTAGGCCTATTTTAGGGAGGCTTCAGCCTCCCTAAAAATGTCTTTAGCCCCCCTAAATAATTTCATTGCATTATTTAAAAAAAAGTATTATTTATTTTTCCTGTACTTTTGCTAATATATTGCATCAAATTCAATGTAATGTGGCCATTTTAAATTATATTTCGATAACC